GTATGTATAAAAAGGTCCCAGAGGACAGCCATCGTGGAGGTTTCCGGTAAAAATCCGACACTATCTGGGTCTTTCCTTAAAAGACTCAGGTGTCTTATGAAGATTTCCTCCACGTAAAAAGAAAAAGGTTAGGTTAGGTTTAGGTTATAACGATACTACAAGTATTCGAGTCTAAACTAAAGTCCCACATGCTTGTGGCTCGAATTTCGACGAAAAGTTTAGATTAAGTTAGGATGACATTTTCCACCGGAGAGCGAAAACACGATTCCCTTCGACAGTTTGTTCGACGAGGAACATTCTCGTTCGACGATAATTGTCTCCGACAATTACTCCTCCTTGCTTTGCCACCGAAGTTCTCAGATTTTTGTCACGTTTTTGTGGCGTGAAAAATTATTTCAGCGTTATTTCTCCAAGGTTGAAGAATGTCGTTTTGATGTCAGCGTTGTCAGGTCGAAAAACTTACAACGACGTTCAAATAATGGTGGCAACCTTGAGTTTTTGCGAAAACGAAATTTTTTTTTTTTTTTTTCGAAATTTGTAGAATGTTGATTAATTTTCATTCCAAACATTTTTTGTTTTCTTTTTTGGTCAGATCATCGGAAGATAACTGAAAAATTATGGTCACAGTGATTGGAAATTGTGGTTTGTTAGTATTGCATTGATATTTCTCAACGTAATATATAATCAATGCTGCTGATACGAGCTTACACCAACAAAACGTATAATTATTGTTCCGATTCTAAATTGCAAATTAGCAAATATTCAAGCACAGGTGAATCGTAATTATTTTCATCGTCGTTCGATTCTGTCGTGGAGGATCCTTTCAACAGGGCGCAACAGAAAGTAGTTGAAGAACTTGGAACGACGGGGACGAAGCAAGAAACTTCGAGTTCCGCTCACGGGAACTACAAATACGCGGCCGTCATGGATGCAGACAAGAGCAGTAATCGGCAGTCAGTTGTACGGCGTGTTGCTCCGTCGGCTGAACTTGCGAGGTGGAGGCGGTCTCCTCGAGCCAGGAGACGTTCACGTGTCGCGCCATCTTCGCCACGTCCTCGAACTCCTGAAAAATCAAGGCGAACGTCGGTCGTGATCGAGGGGATTAGCGTTTGGTGTTTGCGCGCGGATGAGGAGAAATCATATTCGATAGACGACGGGAGATTACTATAGGCGCCTACGGTTAACGGAACTGACAACTTCCACAAGCCGGAAGCCGCTTAATGCCGGCGCTGGCACGCGCTCGAACGACGTATTAACCAGCTTTAATTCCGTTATCGAGTTCCTCCGATCGATTTAAAATGTGTCTCCCCTTCCTGCCTCGGTTTAGGTTTCCTCCCGTCGTTCCGCCAAGAAAGTTTCGTCCCCGACGATATCTTCACCAAAACTATTTTACGATTAAACCTTCCGACGAAAGGGCCGTCATACTTACGCGAACAACGGACGAAGCTATCTGCCTGGATGAGTGAACCACGTACGCGCTTGCAGACCTCTCTCGGTCGTTCAACACCTTGGCTCCAAGACTGGTGAACAATTTGATGGTAGTTAAGGTAATAGAAGAACAGTCACGTT